CTGCTCTTCATTGGTATATGTATATGTTTAGTTTCTTCTAGTTAAACTATTTTAAGTTCGCTCTTTGATATTTTGGGAATTTATTATATTTTGGTATGAGATAGCCTAAGTTTTTTTGCTCTATTGATACCCAGTTTTATCAACATTTATTATTATTATTTTAATAAGTATTTTTCTCTTTACCAAAATATTACATGTAGAAAAATTGGAAAATACATAAAAGCACAAAAAAGAAAATCGAGACACCCAAAGTTGGCTACCCATATTTAACTATGGATGTTTTTATTTTATCCTTCCAGTGTTCTTTCTAGGCATGTATATTCTTTTTTCCTCTCTCTCTTCCTTCTAATAAAGCCAGGAACATGCTATACAAACTCAATAGCACTAATTAATTGGTAATTTCTTTCCTTAGTTTAAAATTCTACTGTTTGTTATATGTTAAATTCATATTAGTTTGGATCATTTCTTGCTTTCTTTTTCAAAATCAGATAAAAAAAATTATTTCCAGTGTCTTCTAATTGAACAGAACTAGGAATATAGGAAGTATAATTGCTTTATCAATAAACATTGATATGCATAAGGCATTGGGTAAATGAAAGCAGTGCCTAGCACATTGTAAGCACCATATTAAATGTTGGTTAAATAAATAACATTTGGAATCATAATCCGGAGAGATTATAACATTCTATATCTTTTTTTTCCCCCTGTTATCTAGGCTGGAGTGCAGTGGCACAATCATAGCTCACTGTAGCCTTGATCCTGGGCTCAAGCAATCTTCCCACCTCAGCCTCCAGAATAGCTGGGATTTTAGGTGGCACCACCACGTCTGGGTAATTTAAAAAAATTTTTTTAGAGACAGAGTCTCACTGTATTGCCCAGGCTGGTCCCAAACTCCTGATCTCAAGTGATCCTCCTGCCTCAGCCTCCCAAGTAGGTGGGATTACAGGCATGAATCACCATGCCTGGCTTCTATATCATTTTTAAATAGTATTCATTTTAAATTCTACTTAGTATGTTGAAAAGATTTTCAGTAGTAGGGTTTGAAATAGTATATGTTTTAAGTTAACCTTCTTCTAGCCAGAAAATTATAGCAGGAAAACCTTTCCTAAACATTCACACCCTTTGAAGTGCTTCAAAAGATTGACATGAAATCATGGATACAAAAATTTTAAATGTCTACATGGATAAAATACTATAAACAAGTGAAAAGAAAATGATAAATTGGAAAATAATTTACAACACATTATTTGAAGAGCCTTTACAAACTCACAAGAGAAAGACCATGATCCTAATAGGAAGTTGGGACAAAAGGCATGAACAAGCATTTCTCAGAAGAAATACTAATGGCTTTTAAACATATGACCATATGTTCAATCTTATTTATAATTTTGAAAAATATATATTTAGACAATAGTGAGGAAGCATTTTTTACTTCTTGGACTTGCAAAGATAAAAAGAATTTAAAAGGCCGGGCGCGGTGGCTCACGCCTGTAATCCTAGCTCTCTGGAAGGCGAGGCGGGCAGATTGTTTGAGCTCAGGAGTTCGAAACCAGCCTGAGCAAGAGCGAGACTCCGTCTCTACTAAAAAAATTAGAAAGAAATTAATTGGACAACTAAAAATATATATAAAAAAAAAAATTAGCCGGGCATGGTGGCGCATGCCTGTAGTCCCAGGTACTCGGGAGGCTGAGGCAGGAGGATCACTTGACTCCAGGAGTTTGAGGTTGCTGTGAGATAGGCTGACGCCACGGCACTCTAGCCCGGGCAACACAGTGAGACTCTGTCAAAAAAAAAAAAAAAAAAAAGAAAAGAAAAATTAAAATGTATGAAGATCATGAAAAATAAGGAAATAATGAGAAATTGACATGATGACTAAATATAATGTAGTATCTAGGATTGGATCCTAGAACAAAAAAAGACATTAGTGGAGAAATTGGTGAATTCTGAATAAAATCTGGAGTTTGTTAATGTACCAGTGTTAATTTCTTAGTTTTGACAAATGTACCATGATTATGGTATGAGATGTTAATATTAGGAGAAGTTGAATAAAGGATATATGGAAACTCTCTGTACAATATTTATAACTTTTCTGAAAATCTAAAATTATTCCAGAATTTTAAAAAATGTTTATTAAGAAAAAAAGGAAAATCAAAGATACTAAAAAATAAACACCCTAATATGCTATTGGAAATGAAAGTTGGTATATCCTCTTTTGAATGACAATCTGGCAGTATCTATCAAAAAAGGTACAATTTTTTTGACCTATTCAGTATCATTTCTAATTTTTTCTACACACATATAAATAGAGGTTCAAAGGTATTTATGGCAGCATTGTTTATAATGGCAAAAGTGTGGAAACTGCTTACATGTCAATCAGTAGATGACGGATTAAATTACGATAGAGTCACACAATGGAATTCTATGCAGCTGTTAAAGAGAATGAGATGGATTAAATGTATTGCTATGGAATAATTCCCACGGTATATTGTTAAGAGAAGAAAGCAATGAGTAGAATAGTATACTACTATTTTTTTAAATTAAAAGGGATATGGTTAGAAATACACACACAAATGCTACTATATGTGCATCTATAGCATCTTGGCCAGGGGTTAGGAGAATGACTCACATTTTCATTGTTGACTTATCATACTATCTGTGTTCTTTTTTTTTTAATCCTGTGCATATATTACTTTATTAATCAAAAATAATTGTACATTAAGTGAAATAAGGCCAGGAGGTAGAGTATTATTTATCTAGAAATCGATGTGGTATCTTCTCTCTCTGCCTGCCAAAATCATCCTTTCTAACCTGTGTCTGTCAGAATCTTGAAAGTGAGACTTGCTGGCATTTTGTAAAGGTTGGTAAATATGAAGGTGTAAGTAGAGGCCGGAAGAAATGTGTGTCTCTCTCCTTGGCCAGTGAGTTTCTAAGTAGACATAGCAGTTATCATTCTGTGTCCCAAGTAGCATATCTTTTATTGAGTAGTGGAGGAAGCCAATAGAGGGTAGATGTTGGGGCCTGAAATGGAATTTTCAAATTCTTGCTCATGATTTCCAAATTCGGTCCAAAGGTATACTCTTTGAGGAGATTTGAGCTCCTCTCCCTTTCCTCTACCAACCTGCCCCTGAACTATGCAATTCCTACTGCTAGTGTACCCTTATCTCTTACTGCTGTTATCTTCCTCATCCAGAAAGTACTAATGATGCTCCCCTAACAATATTTTTTTTAAATGAACAATTTAAAACATAGAAAAGTTGAATGAATTGTACCATGAATGCTCATATGCTCACCACCTACCTAGATTTCACAGTTAACATTCGGCTATATTTCCTTATGCATTTCAAAATAAGTTACAGATACCAGTATACTTTACCCCTAAACACTTCAGCATGCATGCATATCGTTGACTAGAGTACATTAGTTTACAGTTTTTTTTTTTTTAAGAAAAACATATAGGGCTAGGCATGGTAGCTCATGCCTGTAATCCCAGAACTTTGGGAGGCCTAGGGAGTACAATCACTTGGGGCCACAAGTTCGAGACCAGCCAGGGCATCATAATGAAATTCCATCTCTATAGGTGTGTGCCTGCAGTCCTAGCTACTCGTGAGGTTGAGGTGGGAGGATCGCTTGAGCCTGGGAGTTAGAGGTTGCAGGGAGCTGTGATTGTGTCATTGCACTCCAGCCTGGGTGACAGAGTGAGACCCTGTCTCAAGAAAAAAAAAAAGAAAAAAGAAAAATGTATAATATATACAGTGAATTTATATTTGAGTGAAGTGCTCAGATCTTAAGTGTATCATTTGATGCATTTTTGACAAATGCGTGCATGCTTGTGTAACCCGACCCCCTTTAAGATTTAGGTACAGAATATCACCCCAGAAGGTTTCTACATGTTCCTTCCCAGTCAATCCCCATCCCCACCCTGGTGGTAATCACTGTTCTGATTTTTTTCACCATTGATTAGTTATCTTTCTTCTCAAACTTCATGCAAATGAAATCATACAGTATGAACTCTTTTGTGTAAGATTTCTTTTATTAAGCATAATGTTTCTGTGATTCATCCACATTAATATGTGTATCAGTACTCCTTTCCTTTTTTTGCTGAGTAGTAGCCATTGTATGAACCTATCACAGTGTGTTTATCCACTTTCTAGTTGATGGATGCCTGGGCTGTTTATGACTTTTAGCTATTACGACTAAAGTCCCTATGAACATTCTTGTGTGAGTCTTTTTGTGGACATACGCTTTTATTTCTCTTGGGTAATTGCTAGGTCATAGAGTAGGTGTATGCTTAGATTTATAATAAACTACCAGAAGCCTTGTCCCAAAATGACTGTACCATTTTGCTTTGCCACTAACAATGTAGGAGAGTTCCTTATTTGTCTTCAAAAATATATATATGGATATATGCAGAGAAGATTTCTTTATCTGGATACAAGCCATTTGTCAGATGTTCATTTTGTGAATATTTTCTCCCAGACTGTGGCTTGTGTATTCATTCTGGTGAGCAGACATTTTTAATTTGATAAAGTCTAATTTATTGGATTTTTTCTTTTACGTTATTGCTTTCTGTGTCCTAAGAAACTTTTGCCCATCCCCTTAGAGGTTTTTACATATTTTCTTCTAACAGCTTTATAGTTTTAGATTTTATGTTTAGGTTTATGATCTATTTTGAATTACTTTTCCTGTATGGTGTGAGTTAGGGGTCAGGGCTCATTTTTTTCCATATTATATCTGGTGGTTCTAACATTATTTGTTATCATTTCTCCATTAGATTATTTTGGCATCATGATAGATGCTTTTAATAGCTTAAAGGACAGGCTTTTCTCCTTGCCTTTCTTGGTTATTCAAGTATGGAGAGAGGAGAGTTACTCCTTCCTGATCTCCTAATCCCTTTAGTTATACTCACTTATATTCTGGATGCTCCTGAGTCCTGACTTCAGGACTTTCCCAGGTTGGCAGTGAATTATAGTGACTGGATTATCTGTTCTGTCTGGACGTAGGATGACCAGTGTCCCTGTGAAGGATCGGGTGAAGGTGTCTCAGAACTGGAGATTGGGGCGCTGCCGAGAGGGGATTCTGCTGAAGTGGAGATGCAGGCAAGTAACCTCTTGACTCTTTTAAAGCTACCTGGGAAGAAAAAGCATAATAGAAAGTGGCTATAATAATATAATAGCATGCTGGCTAGAATATAAGTGGGGCTATCTTGAGTGGGCATCACTGGTGATCCTTTAAATACCACAAAGGGAGCATCAGAGGGACAATGTTTTTCACATTAAAAAAAAGAAATATAAGAAATGTACTTTGTTTTTAACAAATTCCATATTTTTATGATCATAAAGAAATGTTTATTGTAGACATTTGAAAAAAATAGAAAATTCTAAAGAAGAAAATAAAACTTACTATAATTTTACCACTCAGAGGTAACCTCTGTTAACTTATCTCGTCAAAAGAAATAAATGAAATCTATGTTTTAACTTACCTTATTTTACAATTATTTTTCTTTATTTTTTTATTATTATTATTTTTTCAGACAGAGTCTTGCTCTGTCTTCTGGGCTAGAGTGCAGTGGCGTCATCATAGTTCACTGCAACCTCAAACTCCTGGGCTCACCCATGCTCCTGTGTCAGCCTCCCAAGTAGCTGGGACTATAGGCACACGCCACCATGCCTGGCTAATTTTTCTGTTGTTATAGAGATGGGGTCTTGCTCTTGCTCAGGCTGGTCTAGAACTCCTGGCATCAAGCAGTCCTCCTGCCTTGGCCTCCCAGAGTGCTAGGATTACCGGCATGAGCCACTGCGCCCAGGAGATTATTTTTCTTTAATCTTCCACTCTGTGGAGTTACTTCGTCACTCTTGGCTTCCTGTAGCCCTCTTCCCTACTTTATTAAAAGGCAAGGTAGGATCTAAAGGTTTGGATATATATGTTACAGAAGGTAGAGCTTAGAAAAAGTACCAAGAAATATAGATAATGACTGTGGCACTGCTAATGCCACAAATGTTATACTTCAACAATTCTAAATTGTTTTATAGTTATTATTTGACTTCCTACCAAAAAAAGTGCTCCTTATTCATTGGTTGCAGTGGATACAGAACATCATTATTCCCCATTACAGATTGACCTGTACCTGTGCTGGTATAGGCAGCCTTATCTGATGAACTTTTCTCTCTTGCTAGTGTCCAGTTTCCACTGGTTTCACTGACATCAGTTGCTGTGAATTATGTGATGGTGGTAATGATGGTAGTGATGGTAAAGAAACTACAGGAGAGGAAGATGGATTTTTATGATGAAGAACTTTACCCTCTGCTTCTCACTTTTGCCTTTTAATACCAAAGAGTAGAATTTATTTCTCTGTCAAGGTTTTGTCCCTGGCGTTGTCTCTTTGGGCTTGTTTCAAGCAGTTTGGTGAATAAACACCCAGGACCATTAATGAGGCTGCCCTGGGATTCTCCACTGTTCACCTGGCATGAACCTGGTTTCTTGTCCTAGGCAAATGGCTGTTTACCAGATGGCTCAAAACACAAGAATTCCAACCCCTTCTGTTTGCTGCCTGCTTGAGTGTGCCACATACCCTTGCAAGGGGATGTCGAAGAGGAATGTGCATAATGAGTGAGAATGCAGGCATCTGTACACACTCTACACATGTTCCATATAATATATGCACACACTTGTAAAATCCTCATGAGCAGAAACTCAGTTGCTACAAAGTCTAAGCTGCATTTAATGGCCCGTCAAGTCAATTTGCAGAACTTTTCCACATTCCCATGACGCTTGTATTAAGGAGTCTGGGGAAGAAACACAGCTCAATTTGCTCAGACTGGCTTGGCAGTGGGAGATGGTGTCTCTGTACCTGGGGATGAATCAGCCGTCCCTATGCTTTTCTTGGGACCTGGTAGCTCCAGGACCCCTACATAGAGTAGGATAGATAAACTACCCTTTTTCACCTTGGAAAAGGGGCTTAGTCCTCACCAGAGAGCCTCGTTTCTGGCAGAGTCTTCTTCCTTAAGGCTCAGTCCCTCCCATGGGACTGGCCTGTGGCTTCTAACCTTTCTTCCTCCTGCCAGATTATAGAGGAATCTTTAACTATTTGTGGATTTCTCTTATCAGTTGCCTGTGAGAACTGATTTTCTCTGTAGCCCCTGAACTGTAGCACACTGCTCTAGAGTTGTGTTTTTCCATTGTCACACTTACCCTTTAATATAGAAATGTAGATATCCCTGTGAGGATCTAGGTATCTAATCAGTACATTAGCATCCTTTCCTAAATGGCTTTATTCCTTTCACTTATAAAGGGCCCCTTTGCTCTAATAGGACAGGGGAATGGGGCTTCTCAGGGCTCACTCTTCTCTTTTCCATCACACCCTAACTGATCTATTGGGAAAGAGATGCCTATGGGAGTCTTGGAATCTTGAAACTTATCACTTACACTTCAAATCAATGAAGATGCAGAATGAAAGAAAGTTACTTCACCTGGCTGGAAGATTTCTTTTTGATCCTTTCTACCCCTCAACCACTGGATGTTATAAGCTCTTTCTACCCACAATAAGTCCAGATAGGTAGGAATTCAGATATTAAGCATTCTCTAATAAAAAATGATATTTAGTTGGTCTTTTAATTCTGACTCTATTTTAGAAAGTCCAAAGAAGATTAGATCACCACCAAGCTCAATCACTCTAGTTTTCTGAGGGTAGCTGAGAGGTAGGTAATTTGGAAGGAGGGAACCAAAGTATAGACTGTTAGGCTTGCAGGTTGTCCTTGCTAAGTTGGGAATTGGTCAGCCTCCTCAAAGATTGGAGTTCAACATACAACATGCTGTATGTTGATGATCCTTAAATTTTCTTTTCTATCTCTGCAGTCAGATGCCATGGATGCAGCTAGAGGATGATTCTCTGTACATATCCCAGGCTAATTTCATCCTGGCTTACCAGTTTCGCCCAGATGGTGCCAGCTTGAACCGTCGGCCTCTGGGAGTCTTCGCTGGGCATGATGAAGACGTTTGCCACTTCGTGCTGGCCAACTCGCATATTATTAGTGCAGGAGGGTAAATGCTACAGGTTTCTCCTTTTACCTTCTTCCTTCCTGTTCTTCTGGGACCTTCTGCCTGCCTCTGACTTTTCTGTCTCAACTCCAAAGGGATGAGGAGGGAGACCAGAAGAAGGGGTAGTGGATTTCTCCCATTTAAAGCAGAGAGATTTTACCAAAAGCAGTTAAATGGGGTTAGTTGGAGAAAGAAATAGGAAGAGCCTTTATTGAAAGGTGAAGCTGGTTTTGATACTCTCCAGGAGGAAATTTATTTTGTCTCTCAGCTCTGTTCAGCCCAAGTGTGCTGAAAAAGTAAAAGTATCTAGAAGCTCAGCACCTTATTGGGCTGAATTGCCTAATGCTTAGCAAATTTGGACGTCATTGGACACGTGGGCTGTCTCTGTAGACTTGTTCTCATCTTACAGAGAGAATAATTGGCTTTTGGGGGTGGGCTCCTTATTTCTCTTCTAGAGACGGGAAGATTGGCGTTCATAAGATTCACAGCACCTTCACTGTCAAGTACTCGGCTCATGAACAGGAGGTGAACTGTGTGGATTGCAAAGGGGGCATCATTGTGAGTGGCTCCAGGGACAGGACGGCCAAGGTGAGGTGGTCTCCCCCTTACATACTGTTATTCCTTCCTGTCTATAGGGAGTGGGGTGGGAGAGGGTGGATAGGGCCTTGAGTCCCAGGATTGGCTGAGAGCATTGGCTGGGGCATGGGGGGAAAACGACACAATAAAGGACTCACTTATGTGATTCTGGCATGCAGCTTGCCATGCCAGGCTGTGTCCCTGCCAGCTGGACTGGGAAAGGAGTGGACAGTGGTGGGGAAGCTTGCCATTCACTTGAAATGTGGCGTGAACTCAAAAACAGAGGGCCTGGCCAGCTTTTCCTCCTTGAGCTAAGTTTCCTCAAGTTTGTGGGTTGAGTTCTAACCCCAATATTTTATTTTAAAATTTCCCTCCTTTTGCTTACTCTCTGTTTAGGGAGGTTAATTTTTCACCACCTTGTTTATAAGCAATCAAGCTGATAATTGAAATGGTTTTTACTGCTTCTCTGGAGAGTGATGTGGTCAGTAAGCAGTAGAGATGATGATGAGAGGGGGTGTTATTTGTTGCGTCACTGCCAAATTGCCTAGTCCACAGACATCTGCCAAGGCATGAAAGAATGAGGCTGATAAATAGCGTGACCCTTGCTTCATGGACTCAGCTTTCATCCATGTCTGAGTCAAATAGGCTCCCACCTATGAGACAGAGAAGAAATTCATTCTCTAGGCCTGTGTCCAACAGCCTAGCCAGGGCCTAGACAGGCTTGGTCCTTTGGGGCTGCTGTGGGAACTTTGCTGACAATTCAGTTGATAGTATAGGAGGCCCAGTAGTGTCTTGCTTGTGTATTTCCCAGCATCTGCAGGCTCCATAGTGCTAACAGGAGCAAAATGCTTGTTGGTGTCAGCAAATGGGCCTCTAAGATACATCGGGAAAAGACTCAGGAGAGGGGAATTACAATCTTTACTCAGTAACTTTTCTGATTCCATATACCCTCTGGTGATTTCTCCTTCAAGTAGAAATGTTGTTAATTTATGTAAAAAGAAGGGCTAAATATGCTCCCTTCTATTTATGGAAGTTTCTCCTCCCTTTGCTGTTTTCTGCCTTACACTTTGTCAAGAGAGAATGCACACCAGCACAGGAAACCTGAGAAAAATCCAGCAAATCTTTTGAACCAACCTGGAAACTGAATTCCCATCACTTGTGTCCCATTCCCTTATCCCATACATACTTCAGGTTTCTGCTTAGTCACTGTCTTTGTACCATTCTTTGCAAAGATCCTGGCCTTAACTTGCTATCCTGCTCAAAAGTGAATTTGTATAGAAACATTTTGTGGCATGAGTGACCTAGATATTCCCATCTTATTCTAGCATTTTCCTTTCGTGGCTTCAGGCTTCCCCTGTTTCCTCCTTTTCAGTGACATCTCTTTCTCCTATCCTATTCTGAGGTCTGACACCCAAAGCAGTATAAAACTAAGCTTTACAACCACAGGTAGCAATCTGAGGGTACGGACTGCTTACAGTTGAAGAATAGTAGCAATTTTATTTGAGATATTGAGTTAGTTTTATGTTTAAGTACTGACAGCCCTATTTAGTGGCTTAGATTTTCTAAAGATTTAAAATAGATACTTCCTTCTTCTACAATTATCACTGTAGTCCACCCTCTTCCCTCTGAGGATTTCTTTTAGGTCCATGACAGAATTCTCTTCTCTGGTTCTTCTTCAACTTCTGAAAGCTGGTCTGCCGTTTCTGGGTTCCCCAGTGATCTCTCCGCCACTTATCTTTTCTGGCCTTGTGGATGCTGCTTGGGTTTCCCTCCTTTTCATTGTTGTCTTTTCATCCAACCACCGTCATTATCTTGGCCCGTTTCCACATTACTGTACTCACAGTTTGTCTTTTGTAACTGAGACATCATTTCTTTTCAATGGCATCTGCAATTCTATAGCTGCTTCTACAGGCTTCACTACACCTGAACCTACTTAAGAACTTACAGTGACGTTTGCCTGTAACTAACTATAGCCTGTTCTTTGGGATTCCCCAAATATGTACTGTATTTTAGGAAAGAGATTTGTTTTATGGGTGACAGGAACCAAAACATTCTGTTTGCAAGACTTCTGACCTAGAGACTGCCCAAAGAGCCCTCTTCCTTCTCATAATCTTCAACCCTATTTTCAGGTTTACTGTTATTTAGCTTGGTTTGCCTCTCTGGGCTTTAGTGGGGCCAGCCCCATCTCTTGAGTTGTGAACAGATGGAAGCTTATGTTCTTTGTGGGCCTGGGCTGGTACTGACCATTCCTTCATTTCCTCCTGTATTTCTCTATTCTTCCTTAGTGCCTACTGTAGGTGAGGCTTGGTATACGAGGTAGCTGAACTTTTCAAAGGTGATAAAGATACAGCCTCTCTCCTTAAGGGGAGATGAGACATATGTACACCTGGCTATGAAGCTGATTGGAAGTGGCTAGGACTGTGAAGTGTAAGGTTCTAGGGAAAGGGCCAGAAAGTTCAAAGAGTGGAGAGATCACATCTGATTTGGAAGAGAAGACTTTATGAAGCAGGAAGAAGCATTTGAGTTGGTTTTTTTTTTTTCTTTTAGTCTTTTTTCAAAGCATAGGTTTGCTTGTTTGTTTTGTAATAATATGGAATGTATCTAGGCACTGTAATAAGCACTTTATTCATTTTCTCTTTTAGGGTAAGTTTTTCCCACATAATTGTCTTGTAATGTATTTTGGATATCCAGTATACCCTACTGTACCTACTTAATTTTATAAGATTTTTCCATTATTACTAATACGAATTACTCATGTCATCTTTAATGATTTCATAATAGATTTACCACAGTTGACTTACCATTTTTCCTATTGGTGGATGTTTGTATCCATTTTTTTCCTGTAGTAATAAGACCTGCTGTTATTGATTGCCTAATACCTGCTAAATACAGTGCTACTGTGCTATGTTATACTTATCTTCACTTTTCTACACTACAAGCCTGAGAGATAGACATTATTTCCAATCTGACACATAAGAAGACTGAGGCTAAGAAGTTATGAAACATCCCTAAGATCAAAGATAATAAGTAACAACTATGGTTCAAACCCAGATTGGTCAGATTCTAAAGCTTATGGGTATTTTTTCTATTAATACGACCATCGGCTGCAGTTTTAAAAAAACTTGTTACCATTTGGGTTTTTCTTTGTTTTAGGATTATTTTCTTAGATTTTTAGCCACAGAATTACTGAGTCTGAGACTTGGTCATTTTAAGGGTCTTGATACATATCACCAACCTGCTTTTTAAAAGGCCTTTGTAAATGTCCACCCTCACTGAGTCTTTTCCCAGAACAGATCTGTTTTGAATTTGGCCATGGAGAGCAAAGATATGAACAGCATTTTGTTGTCAACTCAACTCCTGTCCCTCAGGTGCCAGGATACTCATGTTTCTGGAGGATGGTGTGCTGCTGGGGCAGGCTGGGAGCATGAACTTTCCTAAGATCATGCTCAGAATTGGCAATATGCTTCCTGAGCCACTCCTGGAGACCAGGAACCTTGTTCTGTGCTTTGCAGAATCTAGGAATTCACCAGACCTTTCCATAGAGGACACTGGTGAATTCAGGCCTAGGCTGTTCCCACAGATTTTGCACTCAGAGTCCTTAGTTTTTCCCCATTTCTCAAACAAGAACCTGCCTCCCCGGGAGTTTGTGTCAGGGAAAAGGCAAAGCTTTCTTTTGGAGCTGTCAAAAGAGGACATTAGAAGTGCGTCTAGTTACTGCCAAAGGAGAGTAACTATAGAGTCCAAAAAGTAAGCCAAAATCATGGCACTCCAAGAAAAGTTGTGGTATTTACCTTTGTTTTATGCCTACCCCTCGTTCAGGATCTTCTTGTCAAATTTATTTTCTTTTCCCTGTGTTGGAAAAAGTTATACGATCATCCCATCCCCCACCCCCATCATACACATACAATCTCTAAGAAACACTTTCTCCTTTTATAGGAAAGAGATGATCATGTGACCCTAAGAAAGCAGGACCACCCCCACACCATCACCTACTCCTTAAACTCAAGGAATGTTTCCTTTAAAGTTCTTCCATCTAAGGTCCTGCCTGAGTTTTGCACGTTCCCCTTATAGCACTACAGGGGCCTTGAGAGGTCATTGGTCCATCCGGCTGCCTCAGGATCCCTCCGTGGCCGCTGTCTGGGGACAGCCCTGAACATTTGAGGTTTTCTTTCTGTTTGGTTAGAGACTTATGTCACTGTGTGTGTCATCTGGGATAGGGTGAGGTGAGGGGGGAGCCCTGGGCTTAATGGGAGATGTCTAAATGCACTGACTGCTGAGAGGGCTCTGTGAGTGTTGATTAGAGTTAAGCCCAGAGTGGCTGCTAATGTACATTCCTGACTGATAGGGACCAGATAATGTGCTCCAAGCAATATTTTTAACCTGTAGGAGATATGGTAGCTTAAAAGAGTTAAGCTTTTCTGCTACTTTTGGCTACACTAGGTGCTAAATTCCCTGCTGATGTGAATAGCATTGGATCCTGGGCATTATCAACAAACAAACAACAACACACCACCTTCCTTCTTTGAAGTCTCTCTTCTTCCATTCTTTCCTTTGCTTGCATCTTTCTTTTTACTCCTCTTTCTAATTCTATCACTGCCCCTTTATACTGCACCTTGATCTTCCTCCCTCTCCCTCATTTCCCAAAGTAAAATCTTGGTGAGAGATAGGAGAAAGGAAATCCACAAACATGGGAAAGTTGCTGAGAGAGGCAAGCCCCATCTGCCCACTTCTTCTCAGTTAAGTCTTAGCTGAGGAATGTGGAACATCTGAGTCCCTGGTATAAAATTGGCTGGTAAGTAAGGGCTCTTGGGTGGAAGTAGAAGCAGGGTAGTTAGAACAGGGAGCTAGGGTCTATCTGGGTGGTAGGCGAGCCAGAGCTGGAGAGGCCCCTCTGCTGATACCCTGAACTCTGTGTGTGCAAGGCAGAAAGGATTCTCCATTCCCTTGTCCCCCCCATCAGACCCCCAGCACAGTTACCCCTCCTGGTGCACTGCTCCTCCCCATTAATCCCAGGCAATGCCAACAAGAGCATCTCTCCTATTTCCAGGTGTGGCCTTTGGCCTCAGGCCGGCTGGGGCAGTGCTTACATACCATCCAGACTGAAGATCGAGTCTGGTCCATTGCTATCAGCCCATTACTCAGGTAAGGGAGACATTTTTGGATATGGTTTTATCCTGTATAACAATGCTTTTATTTTACTAGATTAGGTAAGCTAGAAAATCTTCTACTTGTATGTTCTTTCTATTTTTTTTTTTGAGATGTAGTCTTGCTCTGTTGCCCCAGGTAGGGTGCAGTGGCATCATCACAGCTCATTGCAACCTCAAACTCCTGTGCTCACGCGATCCCTACCTCAGCCTCTTGAGTAGCTGGGACTACAGGTGCACACCACTGTGCCTGGCTAATTTTTTCTATTTTTGGTAGAGACAGGGTCTCGCTTTTGCTCAGGTTGGTCTCAAACTCCTGACTTCAAGCGATCCTCCCACCTTGGCCTGCTAGGATTATAGGCATGAGCCACCACACCTGGCCCTTCCTACTTGTATATTGTAGGTTGCTTTGAGCTGCTTTCCTGGAGAATTTAAAATCCTCCACAGAGATTTGAGGTCTTTAGGTCACTTCATATGTGCATGAGGTTGAGAGAACCTTCTAAGGGCTAATTTTCAAGTATCTAACCCCAGAAATGTTAAGAAAGTATACTATATTAGAATGTAACTAAGAGTATAGCTGTTAACAGAGGTGTCCCTTCTGGACCAGATGCCCTCTGGGGTCACTCCCAAAGCAGAGGCCACTCAGCATCCCTGGGAGGTGACAACACCAGCCAGCCTGCTCTCACAACTCACATCTCTGCTTTGTTCCCCTTGGAAAATGTCCTCTGGCGTATCCCTTACAGACTTGAGTCATCAGGAGAGGCTTGGGGCCTATGTCCAACTGGGCCCTTAAACCAAGACTTATATGTGGAGTAGAGACATTGACAGTTGTAGCAGAAGTGTGAAATTTTTGATGATGGCTTTACCCTACCCTTTGGCCTGACTTGTATTTCTCTAGCTTTACCTATGAACATGTGGGCTTTGAATCCCCACTTCTGCTTTTTAAATTCTCTGGAACCAAGGCAAAGTCTCTTTCCTCCCCAGCAGGGTATATAGACTGTCTCTCTTATACCTGTTCTGCCACAATATTTGCTTAGGGTCTTCCCGCACTTCTTTCACCCCTCACTCCCCACCCTAATGGAAATGGGAAAGCTGCGGGGCTGCTGCCCTCCAATACTGGGTTTAAGTCAATCACTTGTTTTATGAGAGAGTTGGTCCCCCCTCTTTGCTCGGCCCCTTTAGCCTTTCTCCTTATCCCATGGAGCCTGCACCCCTCCTCCTGCTCCCTTCCACAGCTCCCTTTCAGATTTTTTTTCTTCCTAAGAATTAGAGCCGATTAGCCACGTCATTAATTCTTCAATTTGACGGCTGATATAGCAGGACCTGAAACACATTGCTGACCCCGGAGAATGGAGACCCGTTCCTTAGCATATTGACGATGGGAGAAGTTAATTAAAATTCCACAGAGCAGAGGTGTCGGCTAACCTATAAACCTGTCGCTGTTCAGAACAAATCATTCTAGCAATCCTAGGAAACAGGGAAGGAAAGACCAGCAGGGAGTGGAGAGGCTAAGTGTGTGGGAGCGGAGAGTGGAAAATGGAGCCATCGAGCTTTGTCCCCTCCTCAGTTTCTTCCTAATGCTACCCTCCTTAAAGCCAGTTAGCTGGGTTTGGGGATCTGTGGGCTGGATATGTGTAAGGATTGAAGGAAGGTGAAACGGCCTGTGGGCAGTGACAGGTGTGCTGGTGACTTTGTCTTAGGGGTTGCTTGTGGACATCTGCTGGCTTCAGGAAGACTGGATTGGGTTGGTGCCAGGGGGAAGCTCTTCAGGGCCGGAGATGGTCTATGTGCTTCCTGCATATGGATTGAGGCCAAAGAACACAGACAGACTCTCCCCTGCACCCTACCCCTGTACTTCTCTACTCCGGCTACTGCCTCTGGAATGTTTTAAGCTACCTCTTAACAGAATAGAACACAGCAACTCTTGAAGATGGCATCAATAAAAGAGGTTGAGGGCAGGGGCAGAGTCTGCCCGCATCATTAAGAAGCATGTGAGATCACAATAAATCGAGTTTTGGTTTTTTGGCCACAACTTGAAGACTGGTTTTGGGGAAGGAACTAGCTTTCTACCAGTACTATTACTACTGTTTATATGACTGCCACTCCTACTAGCAGCTAACATTTATTAGTCATTTGCTTTGTGCCAGACCCTCTGGTAAGTCCTTGACATGTCTCATCTTTGGTGAACACCTGGGTCTTGTATTTTCTTTACATTCTTCTTCAGAGTTTTCCTGTCCTCTTGGTATGTTTTCTAGGCCTGGGATGTTTCTTTCACTCGTAGTTGGCTGGCTGTTCAGCTCCTGACCCACAGTTTTTTGAGATGGCTTTTTCCCCAACTCCGTAGATGATGTCTGGGACTCCTTTTAAGAACAGTTTGCATTTGAGATTTTGTCTTTACACTAGATGACCAGGATATATGCTGGTATTATCTCTGCCTCTTTTTCTCTTACTCAAAGAATATACTGGGGTAGGATCTTTTTACCTTGTTATTAGATCTGTTTCTTCTCACTATGATCATGAATTTGAACCTTTCAATAAACTCATCCATTTTCTCAATCTTGGGAGACACTGCCTACCAGCCTCAGGGTCTATTCTTTAGAGCAGTCTGGGAGATGAGTTCTGCTATGCCACCAACTAGCAGAGTGGCCTCAAATAAGTCATTCCCTCTCCTAGCCTCAGTTTCCTCATGTATTAAATATGAACCCTATTCCCTTTACAGACCTTACTAGATTATTGTGAAGATAACCTGAAATAATTTATATGAAAATACTCCGGAAAGCTGAAGGGGCTATAGTATTATGTCAGCCAAAATCCTTTCTTACCTGGTATAAATATTTGCTTACTGGCTTCAACTACTTTCAAGTTTCTACCCTTTGCCTGAGCTCTTTTTGGCCCCCAGGGAGTTACACTGCTCTTTTATAGTCTTCTTGATGTGGAACCTCAGTAGGAATCTCTCTTCCTTCTTCTTTTCCCCCTACAGTGTCCCTGCCCTTAATGACTGCCTTCTGTTCCCCTCCCTGCCACCATTCCTGTTTAGTGTATCACTGATGTGATGTGACCCTGGACCCCTCGTGAAGAACATGAGGGGATGAGGGCAGCAGCTGTCCTCTAGGGCAAGTATTACTGGTTTATCTGACAATTTGTCAGCCCCTTGTTGTCCCTTGTATAGCTAGAAGGAACCTGGATAGTTAGGAGACCTAACACAGCTCTTTTCTCAATTAATCTCTTTTTTCTGTGTAAAATAATGTGTCAGACCTGTTCATCTTATTTATCTTTAATGCCAGGGCTTTTCTGCCTTCCTGTGTATATACTCAGACACTTGTAGTATGAAACCTGAAACCTCAAACCTTAGGCTTCATTTCAGTTGCTCATGACTGGGAGAAAGTAGTATTCTGTCCTGTGTCCAAATGTTCCCTTCCCTTCCTTCCATGACCTCAAATTTTTGATTTGTAAACAGTTGTGGAGGATGATATTTAATACTAGTTATGTGCTTAGAGCCATGTTTAGATACTCAAAAAATACAGAAGGAAAACCAATAGGCTCCAAAGGAAGGTGGCAGGCAAGAACCTTTTCCTCTGCCTCCTGCTTAACCTCCCACCCATCTTCTTGTCCCAATACCAATAATCCTGTTTTTAAGGTTCATGACTTATAACTGAAGCCCTCTTCCTATGGAGGAGGTCCCACTTGCAGCTATTGGATGAGTGAAAGGACAGGTTGAGATGGCTCAGGAGTGAAATGCTGGAGGTGTACCTGGAGTAGAGAGAGGAGTGTATGTCCTCTACCCCAGGACTGTAATTGTATGGCAGGAATATCTTTAGCCCACTAGTCTCAGAGATACAACCTCTTGATGTCACATGGAATTCTGAGCACTTTCCCATGAGTAACACAGAAAATCTGATTTTTAGAAGTGTGTAATATGTTTTATTGTCATTTAAAAACTATTTGCAGCTAAATAAAGTTAATAAATACTCAAGAGTGAGGAAACGAAGAACTGTTAGCCAGGCATAGTGGTTCATGCCTGTATTCCTAGCCCTTTGGGAGGCTAAGGTGGGAGGATCGCTTGAGGTCAGGAGTTCGAGACCAGCCTGAGCAACATAGTGAGGACCTGAATTTACAAAAAATAGAAAAATCAGCCAGGTGTGGTGGTGCTCACCTATAGTTCAGTTACTCAGGTGGCTGAGGCAGGAGGGCTGCTTGAGCCCTGGAGTTTGAGGTTACAGTGAGCTATGATGACACCACTGAACTCCAGCCTGGATGACAAAGTGTCTCAAAAAAAAAAAACAAAGCAAAAAACAAGGAAATGCAGAACTGTTACAGACTTAACTTCCTTCCCTTTGACTTTCCATCTCTTTCATTCTCATTTCCTTTACAGCTTACTCCTTGGGTATTTACTGAACACTTGCAATGTGGCAGCTTCCCCAGTGATCTTATTCAGTGGTGGGGATAAGATAGGTAAATAACTGTAATGACTGCCAGACTACACCAGGGGCCTTAACCTAGGATGTCTCTGGTTGGGGGGAAAGAGGGAATTGTCATTCTTTTCTGGGCAAAGACAGAAATTGAGGCCTTTGGGAAGGGAAGATCAATGCAGGGCCATATGTGGGATGTGGCAGAAGAGGCAGTAGTTTGTGCCCAGGTCTCCCCCAATCTATTGCCATATCCTATGTGCTGAGGGAGGGCCACGAGGCAGGCCTCTAGGTCATTGCTGTGCCTTACTCATCAATATCTTGGATGGTAGCTGTGGCTCTTGAAAGGCTCTGTGGGGACCCAGGAACATTCTCTCTTCCTAGAGGCCAGAGTTGAGATAGGGAGGAGTGGGGGAAGGCAGCATGCGATTGAGGCCTGGGCTCACTCAGGTAGCTCTGAATGCTTGCACTATTCCTGGAGTGCAAATGCACATAGATCTTCAGTTTCAGGCCCCCTCCAAGCGAGCCATGGGGGACTTGTGGTGAAATGAATCTGTAGACCTATCTACCCTGTTTGCCCGGGAGGGGAAGG